TCCCCTTTCATTTCCCAACCATCCTGTGGTGTTGGGTCCTCGTTTTGAAGAGACGGTGCCCCGCGTTCCTCTCCTTCCTCCTCTCCTCCCTCCTCCCCCTCCTTGCCTCTGCTCTCGGCACACCTCTCACGCGTTTCGTAGCCCCATAGGGAGCTCCACCGAAGGCCCCAGTGGGGGTGTTCGCATGCGGTTCCCCCACCCAGGGCAACGTTTCGTGGCCCCATAGGGAGCTCCACCGAAGGCCCCAGTGGGGGTGTTCGCATGCGGTTCCCCCACCCAGGGCAGCGTTTCGTGGCCCCATAGGGAGCTCCACCGAAGGCCCCAGTGGGGGTGTTCGCATGCGGTTCCCCCACCCAGGGCAGCGTTTCGTAGCCCCATAGGGAGCTCCACCGAAGGCCCCAGTGGGGGTGTTCGCATGCGGTTCCCCCACCCAGGGCAGCGTTTCGTGGCCCCATAGGGAGCTCCACCGAAGGCCCCAGTGGGGGTGTTCGCATGCGGTTCCCCCACCCAGGGCAGCGTTTCGTGGCCCCATAGGGAGCTCCACCGAAGGCCCCAGTGGGGGTGTTCGCATGCGGTTCCCCCACCCAGGGCAGCGTTTCGTGGCCCCATAGGGAGCTCCACCGAAGGCCCCAGTGGGGGTGTTCGCATGCGGTTCCCCCACCCAGGGCAGCGTTTCGTGGCCCCATAGGGAGCTCCACCGAAGGCCCCAGTGGGGGTGTTCGCATGCGGTTCCCCCACCCAGGGCAGCGTTTCGTGGCCCCATAGGGAGCTCCACCGAAGGCCCCAGTGGGGGTGTTCGCATGCGGTTCCCCCACCCAGGGCAGCGTTTCGTAGCCCCATAGGGAGCTCCACCGAAGGCCCCAGTGGGGGTGTTCGCATGCGGTTCCCCCACCCAGGGCAGCGTTTCGTGGCCCCATAGGGAGCTCCACCGAAGGCCCCAGTGGGGGTGTTCGCATGCGGTTCCCCCACCCAGGGCAGCGTTTCGTAGCCCCATAGGGAGCTCCACCGAAGGCCCCAGTGGGGGTGTTCGCATGCGGTTCCCCCACCCAGGGCAGCGTTTCGTGGCCCCATAGGGAGCTCCACCGAAGGCCCCAGTGGGGGTGTTCGCATGCGGTTCCCCCACCCAGGGCAGCGTTTCGTAGCCCCATAGGGAGCTCCACCGAAGGCCCCAGTGGGGGTGTTCGCATGCGGTTCCCCCACCCAGGGCAGCGTTTCGTGGCCCCATAGGGAGCTCCACCGAAGGCCCCAGTGGGGGTGTTCGCATGCGGTTCCCCCACCCAGGGCAGCGTTTCGTAGCCCCATAGGGAGCTCCACCGAAGGCCCCAGTGGGGGTGTTCGCATGCGGTTCCCCCACCCAGGGCAGCGTTTCGTGGCCCCATAGGGAGCTCCACCGAAGGCCCCACCGAGGGCAGCGCCCCAGTGGGGGTGTTCGCATGCGGTTCCCCCACCCAGGGCAGCGTTTCGTAGCCCCATAGGGAGCTCCACCGAAGGCCCCAGTGGGGGTGTTCGCATGCGGTTCCCCCACCCAGGGCAGCGTTTCGTGGCCCCATAGGGAGCTCCACCGAAGGCCCCAGTGGGGGTGTTCGCATGCGGTTCCCCCACCCAGGGCAGCGTTTCGTGGCCCCATAGGGAGCTCCACCGAAGGCCCCAGTGGCTGCTCTCGCATGCGGTTCCCCCACCCAGGGCAGCTTCGTGGCCCCATGGGGAGCTCCACCGAAAGCCCCCGTGGCGCAGTTCGCATGCGCTTCCCCCACCCAGGGCAGCGCTTCGTGGCACCATAGGGAGCTCCACCGAAGGCCCCAGTGGCGCAGTTCGCATGCGGTTCCCCCACCCAGGGCAGCGTTTCGTAGCCCCATAGGGAGCTCCACCGAAGGCATGCCCCGGTGGCGCAGTCCGCATGCGGTTCCCCCATCCAAGGCAGCGCTTCGTGGCCCCATATGGAGCCCCACCGAAAGCGGCATCCACAACGCGTTACCAACAATTGCTTATGGTTGGGTCTTTCGCCAGGATAATTTTCTTCCCCCGCGCACTCCAGCGTCCAAGGCTGCGGGCGCAGCGCAGCGCGGAGTCCCCGCGACGCGCGCCGGTCGCCCCGAAGGGGCCCCAGCAACGCACGCGGGTCGTCCGCTGTGCGGAGCAAAGCGAATTGGCTGGCTGGCTGATAGCGGGCAAGGTTCTGGCCGCTGGGCAGAACGACGACGGGCGAACGAGGCGCTGGGCAGTGCGCAGCACGGAGTCCCGCAACGCACGCTGGTCGCCCCGACAGGGTCCCAGCGACGCGCACGGGTCGTCCGCGGCGCCAGGCCGAACTGTTGGACAGCCTGGATATGGCGCGGCTCGGGCGGGCCGCCCCCCCCGTCGGGCCTCGCGGATCAACTCGGTGAAGCCCAGCTCTGGCGAGGGCTGCCGCCTCCCTCCTGCACCGCTTCGTGCGCGACGCAAGCTGCTTCTGCTGCGCCACTGGGGCCTTCGGCGGAGCTCCCTATGGGGCCACGAAGCATGTGAGGGGTGTGCCGAGATGGCTGTGCGTGACGCATGCGGGCTGCGCCACTGGGACCTTTGGCGGAGCGCCCTACGGTGCCCGAAGCGTGTGAGGGGTATGCCGAAATTGCGCCACTGGGACCTTCGGCGGAGCTCCCTATGGGGCCACGTGACGGGTGTGCCGAAACGGGTGCGCGTGACGCATGCGGGCTGCGCCACTGGGACCTTCGGCGGAGGTCCCTATGGGGCCACGAAGCGTGTGAGGGGTGTGCCGACATGGGTGTGCGTGACGCATGCGGGCTGCGCCACTGGGACCTTCGGCGGAGGTCCCTATGGGGCCACGAAGCGTGTGATGGGTGTGCCAAGATGGGTGTGCGTGACGCATGCGGGCTGCGCCACTGGGACCTTCGGCGGAGCTCCCTATGTGGCCACGAAACGTGTGAGGGGTGTGCCGAAATGGGCGTGTGCGTGACGCATGCGGGCTGCGTCACTGGGACCTTCGGCGGAGCTCACTATGGGGCCACGAAGCGTGTGAAGGGTGTGCCGACATGGGTGTGCGTGACGCATGCGGGCTGCGCCACTGGGACCTTCGGCGGACCTCTCTATGGGGACACGAAGCGTGTGATGCCGAACTGAGTGTGCGTGACGCATGCGGGCTGCGCCACTGGGACCTTCGGCGGACCTCTATGGGGCCACGAAACGTGTGAGGGGTGTGCCGACATGGGTGTGCGTGACGCATGCGGGCTGCGCCACTGGGACCTTCGGCGGAGCTCTCTATGGGGACACGAAACGTGTGAGGGGTGTACCGAAATGGGTGTGCGTGACGCATGCGGGCTGCGCCACTGGGACCTTCGGCGGAGTTCCCTATGGGGATACGAAACGTGTGAGGGGTGTGCCGAAATAGGTGCGCGTGACGCATTCGGGCTGCGCCACTGGGACCCTCGGCGGAGCTCCCTATGGGGCCACGAAGCGTGTGAGGGGTGTGCCGAAATGGGCGTTTGTGACGCATGCGGGCTGCGCCACTGGGACCTTCGGCGGAGCTCTCTATGGGGCCACGAAACGTGTGAGGGGTGGGCCGAGATGGGTGTGCGTGACGCATGCGGGCTACGCCACTGGGACCTTCGGCGGACCTCTCTATGGGGCCACGAAACGTGTGAGGGGTGTACCGGAATGGGTGTGCGTGACGCATGCGGGCTGCGCCACTGGGGCCTTCGGCGGAGCTCCCTTTGGGGCCACGAAGCGTGTGAGGGTGTGCCGAAATGGGTGTGGCGACGGCTCTGATGATGACGATGGTGGTGATGAGGGAGGTGATGATGACAGCGAGGATGGTGATTACGATGGTGACGGTGATGATTACGATGATGATGACGATGCTGAGGATGGTGACAATGTCGATGTCGATGTCGATGATGGTGATGTTGATGATGATGCTGCTGCTGCTGATGATGATGATGATGATGCTGATGCTGATGATGATGATGATGATGATGATGATGATGATGATGATGATGATTATGATGATGATGATGATGATGATGATGATGATGATGATGATGATGACGATCAGGATGAGGATGACGCTGATGACGAGAAGAGGAGGGGGGCAGCGGGAGGAGGGAGACGCGGGGCGATGTCTCTTCAAAACGAGGACCCAACACCACAGGATGGTTGGGAACCATCCTTTTCCTCCTCCGCACCCTCCTCTTATTCGCTCCCCTCCTCCTTCTCCTCCACGCCCCCACGCGCGTGGTACTGCAGAGAAGCAGGGAACAGATAACGAGGGGCAAGGGGGGGCGTTTTTCATAGCGTCATCTGCCAACACTGGGGGGGGGGGAGGGGCGCTCGTCACTTCGGTTGGTCAGAACGCGCTCCACGCTCCAGCTCCTCTCCTCCTCTTCCTCCTCCTCCTCCTCCTCCTCCTCCTCCTCCACTCCCCCGTTATCTTCATCCTCCTCAACTTTCACCTCCCTCGTCATCGTTATCCACACACCCCTCGTGTCCCTCATCGTCCTCCTTCCGCTCCTGCTCTACCCTCATCATTTCCCTTCTCACGCCTCAGGCAGGAAATCGAACGTCAAACTAGCACTTACGTATTTCGCGACGCCGACCTAATTAGAAAGAACGAGGAAAGCCCTGGTACCGAAACTCCTCTTCCTCTTCCTCCTCTTCCTCCTCCTCCACCCAGGACCGCCCCAGAACATCCTCAAACAGTTAGGAGAGCTGCGGTACCTCCTAGAAGCTCTCAAATGCGCATCGTTCGATTATCTCCCCTGGGCCTGATAATGGTCAGGGAAAGACGCACAAACAGAAGGACAAGGTTGCCGCTTTACGCAGACCGAAGTTCGGACAAGCCCAAAGGGCATACATTGACGTCCCTCTCCTCAATGGGATCCAACAGACCTTCGGAGGTTTCCAGAAGACTCCTGCGGCGGGCGGCGGCCTCAGGAAGCTTCCGAAACCTAAGGAGCAAAAACCTTCACACTCCTCGATTCCCTATCCCCCCAAGCCCTGGGCGGATCCTGCCGGCCCGCGCGCATCTGCAGCTCCCTCACCTCCTTGCGCAAGTCCCTGTGGGCGGCCGGACCCGCTTCCGAAGCACCGCTGAACGGGCGGGGTAGGGGTAGCACGTCAGGCCCCACCCTCTGCTAAAGCTGAGTGCAGACGATTTCGAAGCACTGCGCCCTTTAGCTGATTGCGTGTGCCCCTCTGCTCCCCCGCCGTTCCCCGCTTCTCCGATCCCCTTCTCCGTAGCGCTTGCGGGCCACCAGCGATTTTCCCCCACATCGCGTACGCGTTCTCGATACTTGGTCCAGCATGTGCGAGTTCGCAGTTCTTCTGTGCCAATGCGCCATCTAGGTGTGGGTTCGTGTGTAAACTTGGAGGTTGAATGCGAATCAACATGTTCCACACAGGCGCTGGGCCTCGCCTCGCGCGCGCAGCGCCTCCTGCACGAATTTGCATCCGAAACTCGCTCTATCTCCCTCGAATTCCTTGTCTTACCCGCAATGAAGCCCAGCCGCTCCCTGTGCGCTGCCAACTGCACAGCTGTAACCACTTTCGTGGTTTCCTGTGAGGTCCAGCGGAGCCGAGGGTCACGCGCATCCGGACGTGACGTCCCGTCTGCCTGGGGGTTGCCAACTGTGCATCTGTCGTCACTTTCGTAGGTTCCTCGGAGGTCCAGCGGCTCAGAGGACCACGCGCATGCAGTCTGGCCCTCTTGGGCATTTGAGGTGGTCTGACGTTCTTTAGCGACTCGAACCACGCGCGCGCTTCGCGCGCGCTGAGGTTCTAATCGACTCCGAAGACGGTGTCAATTTCCATGGGACCTTTTCCACGTGGTCTTCCGGGTTCCCCCCTTTCATAATGCGTGATTTTCGGGCGGATACTGCGAAGCTCAAGGAAGGGTTTGGCCTGTAGCTTACCAGCGACGACCGACGACGACGACGACGGACCACCGACGATCAGCATCATTGTCACCTGATCCACGTGCGGGAGAGGCGTTTCTGGAGCGTCTTGCGGGCGTCATGGGGGCGTCATGGGGGCGTCCTCGGGCCTCGACATTGGGTGGGCGGGTCGGGGGGTGCAGCCAGGGCCACGTGTTCCGAAGGGCTGTTCCGGAGCATGGAGGACGAAGGGCTTCAGGCGGACTTCTGAGGGTCTGTGTAGAGGCTTCCTGCGAGCTCGGTGGGGGTTTCTCGGGAGCTTCTCGGGTCTTTCTGGGGCCTTTTTGGTGGCTTTTGGGGGCGTCGTGGAGGCCTCCTGGGAGTCTCTTGGGGCCTCCTGGGGGCCTCGTGGGGCAGAGTGCGCCTCTGTTCGGGCATTTGGGGGGATCTCTAGAGCCTCCTGGGAATATCTTTGGCCAGCTTGGGAGCCTCTGGAGGGGTCCGGGGCCCCTTCTGAACCCTCTTGGAGCCCTCAAGGCCCCCCCAGCAGCCCCCCATGCGAACCAAAGGTCGCAGTTCTGGGCCCATCCAGCAACCGTCTGGGTTGTGGGTTAGAAGCTTCTCGGATGTTCGCTGGGATGATATCGTGGGATGCCTCTCGGGGGGCCTTTTGGAAGCAGGTTTGAAGCCTCCACAGGGGTTGTTGTGGAGCTTGTCGGACCTCTCTTAAGCATCTTTGAGGCCTCTTTGGAGCCTCTTGGAGCCACTTTGGGGCCTCTTGGGGCCTCCTGGGGGTCTCTGGGGGCGGGAAACTCGAAAGGTCGGTTCGCGTTCCCTCTCTTGGGCCCATCTCAGGCCCTCTTCAGGCCCTCTTGGGCCGTCTTGGGGGCCTCTTGGGCCGATCATGCAGCCTTCTTGGGCTGTCTTGGGGGCCTCTTGGGGGCCTCTTGGGGCGACGTTGGAGGCTTCTTGGGCAGTCTTGGAGTGTCGGCCGCTCGAAACGTGAGCAGCAACACATATTGGAAACACACAATGAAAATCAATGATTATGGCGTCTTGGGGCTCTCTTGGAGGTCCTCGCGGAGCGACCTTGGGGCATCTTGGGGGCCTCTTGGGCCGATCATGGGGCCATCTTGGGCGGTTTGGAGCGCTCGTGGGCCGTCTTGGCGGCTTCTTGCCGTCTCCAGGAGCCTAGATGGACGCCTCGGGGAAGCGGAAAAAGTTCCAGGACTCCGAAAACTAGCTCCTGGATGCCAAAACAGGCCCCCACAGCCCAGGGGGCAAATTCGGTTACGGGGGGAGGGGGGTTGGGAAAAATGTGCGACATTGGGCCGCGGGGCCCCGGACGCCGCTTGTATTATACAAAACGTTCAAGGGCATTGTAGATCCATTACTACTTTTTCTTGTACTGAGCGGTGCTATGTGTAGTCGCCTCTCGAGTAGAAGGTTGCTCTGCCCTGAGAAAGAATTGAATGTCAGTCTCGGACGATGGGGACTTGAGTGCGGGTGATTATCAAGATAGAAGGAGAGTGAGCGCCGAGATGGGGCGAGTCTGGGGATGAGAGCGGTGCGTTGCGAGTGAATGTGAGTACGAGGGAGGAGATGATGAGATGAGGATTGGTGAAGGCAGTGCGGGATGATAATAAGAATGAAGGCGATGAGTCATCACGACGAATGTGATGAATGAGACAAGATGAGAAGCAAGACTGTGAGTGATGGGCGCCCTGCTCCTGAGAGGGAGGACGCGGGGAAAGCGAAATCCGCCGATCCGTCGGCGTGTGTGAGACGCTGGCGGCGTCGTCATTGTCGACGTCGCTCGTCCCAACGAAATTGAAGAACAAGGAAAGGAACGCCGTAGATAAATCCATTCCCTTCCCTTTATCCCTTCCTGCCACGGGGGGGTCCTGGGTGGGGGGACGGGGCGGGGGGGGGTCCCGGGTCAGAATGCGGCCCGCCCAGGGTCCAGGCCAGTCCCGTGGGGGTCGCGAGTGGGGGTCCCGGGGGAAGTCCCGCCTTCAGGGTCGGCGGCACCAGCCGTAAGGCCTTCGCAACAGAACCCAACTTCGGGTAAGGGGGAGAGCACAACTTGGATTGCAGAGAGGGTAATCTGACTTGGCCGGCGACGAAATTTGTCCGACGCGGGCATCACTCAACGGCGGTGGAGCCTCAGCGTTCATCGCCTCTAGTGTCTGCCAAGTGGGCACCTGGGGTGGAAGGCCCCATGCTCTCTAACCTCCCTCCCAAGCGCCCCCCCAGGGCTCTGAGACAAGACCCAGCCGCCTCCCGACGCTTTCCCAGACGGCCACGGGATGCCCCCTGGGCAGCCCCAAGACGTGAGTCCCATCACGAATACGTATTTTCGCAACCCTCGTTGGTTGCCGTGCCCGCTTCGGTCCCGTCGAGAGAAATCGACTCAACAAGAGGTTCGACTTCTGGCTGCGGCTGCTCCCCTCCCTGAAATGGCACTGGATATTCTAGCCATGCCAACTGAGGATGGGCGTGTCAACTGAAGATAGGCCTTCGAATCAGATTTAAACAGGGACCATGGCTTCACTGATCGGAGGGGGTCAGGTTGAAATGTTGTCCCTGGCTCTTGCCATCACACGCCGATCTGAACACGTTTGTGGCCCCTGGGTGCGTTGTGCCATGTCCAGGCAGCCTTTGAATCCTTGGTAACGGGAAAAGGCACGACAAACACTCTGTATCCTCTTCCTCGAAGTGGCCACAACGGGGAGCGCGCGCGCGCCAGCGCGCACAGAGGTTCGAGGGGGATTTATCCATCATTAGCCACCGCCTGGGGGATCGGTCTTTTGGGACCTTGGCAGGCGGTGGATATGGAGATCTCCTGAAAAAGCGCTTGCCGTGGTCCCCGAACATCTGTCCCCCACCAGGTGGTGGGCAGGAATAGCTCTTGACCTCGGACGCAGGACAAGCGGCGAGAGCGCTGCGCCGAGCAGCCAGCTCCTGGCCGACGCATAGGCGTGGTCCGCCAAGCGCGCGGCTCGGCCGGCGAGCCGGGGGCGCGGCCGCCCGAGTGCCTGCCGACGGCCCGCAGGTCGCGAGGGGGGGCGCCGCCGTCCTGGTCACGTCCCTCTCGCGGTCGCGTTTCTTGGACGCCCTGTCCAACTCCTGGCCCACCCGCGCGGGAGGGGCGGGGGGGGGGGGCGCGCGGGAAGGGGCTTCTCCAGTCCTCCCTCCGTGTCCTCCTCCTCATCCTGCTCATCCCTCCAAGTTCTCCCCCCCCCAGTCCACCCCCCGCCCGCCGTCCCCGTCCACCTCCTCCAATTCCTCCTCAAGTCCTCTTCCTCCTTCTCCTCCTCCCTTCTTCTCCTCCTCCTCCTCTGGCCTGCTCTCCGCTGAAATGAAGCCTCCCCCCATCATGAATCCTTCCCTTTTCACTCCTCCTCATGCCCACCCAGCTATCAAAGCTATCATAGCATCCCAGAGCCGGTCGATTAGTTCGTGAAAGGCGAGTTCAACACGATCATCCTCAGTAAGTTCTCCACCATAGATTCATGAGACAAATTCGTGAACGTGTTTGGGAGATCCCAGATCAAACATCACAATCATGTCATTTGGACGCGCGCTGAGAAGCGCGTGCTGGAAAGCTTTTTCATTCGGGCTCCGACAACAATTCATGGAATGGGGATATTCGAAAAATGACATACCTGTAGACACGAACGATTGCAAACTCAAAAGATTAAGGACCTGGTGGTAACCGTGAAAGTCGTCAACCATTTCCTTGAAACTGTTTGGGAAGGGCCTTGAGCAGATTGGAGCGAGCTTGCTGGCAGTATTAGGGTACAACATCTCACCGCTCGGGCTGACGAGGCTTTGAGCCGAGCAGCATCTGCGAAAGGTAAAGGGAAAGGCAGGAAGGGAGGAACAGGACGGGGCACGAGCGCCGAGTAGGGACTCTGACAGCGCATTGGCAACACGACCACACCCAGACAAGCCAAATGGGTAACATTCCTTTGCACGCCCATGTCGTGTGGTAGAGCCGGCACATGGTATGTCGAAGGCATTGACTTGTACCGGCCATATAGGTTTTGCGAGATCACCAAGTACATGCGAGATTTGGACATCGCAGAGTTTTGTCTTCAAGAGACCCACTGCCGAGGATCACACGCACAGGACGCACCAACGAGCCTTCCAAGAGCAATGGTTTTTGACAGTTGCCAGTCACACTAGATGACATCGCGGGGATGGGATACCCGACCGTCGCGTGGACGGCCTCGACTACAGTGGACGACCTGCTTACACGCGCAAGCCTTGGCCGTTGCGGAGGGCGACCAGGACAATCTGCAAACCATCCTGCAAGATCCTTCTGAGTGGCTTTCGGCTGTGGCGCAACACTGCGCAGTCTAGACCCATTCTTTCCCTCCTCGTCCTTCCCTCCCTCCCCCCTGCCCTCCCCCCCTCTCTCCCCGCCCTCCCTTCCCTGGCCGGTGCTTTGCCGTCCACCCTCGCGCTGCAATAGCATGCTGGCGCATCGTAATCCGAGGCCCGGCGAGGCACACGCCCTTCTTTGAGCCCTTCGTTTTGACGGTCGCATGTGTTTCCACACAGTGTGCCAATGCGCCGTCTAGGCGCGGCTTCTTCACTCACACCTCCTGCCCACCTTCAGTTCAATTCAGCTCGGAAACAGGCGTCGGTGCCGCTCCCCTCGAGAGATCCGGGCGCCCTTGTGCGACGACCGAATGAGGGCAACCAGGTCCGAGGGGGTGGAGGAACGATGGCATGTGATCGCCAACCATTTAAACTGCCGATCCCCATTCGGGAAACTCCCTCAGGCGAACCTCGACTTTTGCTGTCTGAGCTCTTTGGTGGACGGGCGGCCTGGGCGCAGAGAGGCGAAGGAGGCCACGCCAAACCAAACATATCGTCCGCACTTCAGACACGAGATCACCCACCCGCTACCCCCGCCTGGCTTCCATCAACGACGAAATCCTTCGCCTTGCACACATTGTGACACTGCCGACGGGTGAGGGGCGTGAGCTCAGACAGTTGTTCTGGACTTCCTGGAGCAACCTCCCCGGTGTCGGAACAAGCAGTGGACTTTAAATCATCACCTGGCTTCCAGAGGGCCAAGCCAACACGTTCTATCTTCCTGGCGTGGTGGGCGTCCTGATGGGCGGGTCGGTTTCTGTGTCTCGTGTCACATCACGCACTGGAAAAAGGAGGAACAATTCGCCCAACCTCTTATCAAACATTTTCAAGTCTTGGATATCTCCCCGCCGAACTACGTATTGCCGCCACGTCTGGATCATGTCGAACGCCTGCGCCTCCAGTCAAGGCATGGGGTGAGCCTCAGCTCCTATCCTGGCACAACGGTATGCGTGCTCGTTGCCGAGACGCTCTAGATCGCTGCACACATCGATGAGGCCATCAGTGGCCGTCGCCTGGCCCTTGACTTTCCTAGCCTGCAGCCCATCCTCAAAAACATGCCGAACCTGACTTCAGACGTGGGCCGTCGGGTTATGGGAGAAGCAGCTCTTGGCCTTGTCCGAGACACACCCAGGATACCCCAAACAGTCTGCGCAAACCTCAAACTCCGAAAACTTTTTTTTCCCCTCGCCAGGCGATGATGACACCACGATTCCGGAGCACTGCGGATCACCACAGCGAGGCTGCGCCACCACGTGCAGCGGAGAAGCGTCTGGCAAGCTAGCCAGGAAAACGCCAGAGTGAAAAGGAGGAGGAGGAGGAAAAGGCAGGAACAAGCAAAGGGTGTGCACAGCTCGTGCATGCGTCAGCGACCCCAGACTTCGCCGGAGACACCCGCAACATTGTCCCACACGAGCGTGTGATGAGGGGTAGCCCGCGCGTGCGTATACCTACAAGGCATTGCCTGCGGCACACGCACAATGGTCCCACGCGGGCAGGACAAAAACAAAGCAGGGGAAAAGAGGAGGAAGGAGCCGAAAGAGGGAAAGGAAGGAAGAGGGGGGCGAAAAGGAGGCGAAGGGCGACCGAGCACACCCACAGCACACAGCACGAAAGTCAGGACAAGTGAAGGCTATATCTGGTGGCACTGCGTGGCGGCATCGCGCCACGCATGGGCCCCCCTAGGCGGCGGGCGGGCAAGCCCAGCGCAATGGTTGGGGTCGGCCGCCGGCGGCAGTAAAGGGGCCTGGCCCATGCACACGGCAGCCCGAAGACCACCAATTCATCAGAAAACGCATGCAGAGCACAGAAGGATGAGAAGGAGGAGGAGGAGGAAAGGCTGATCGGAGCGGCAGACCGCGATCTGGTCAGAGCGGGAGTCGGTGAGCAGGTCGATGAGGGAGCCGGCAAGCTAGCCCGTGCGGCAGGCCGCGATCCGGTCGGCACCGGAGTCGGAGAGCTGATCGATGAGGCTGCCGGAAAATTGGTCGGTGCGGCAGGTCGCGATCTGGTCGGCGCCGGAGTCGGTGAGCGGGCGAACTGGCCGATGAGGGAGCAGACCACGTGGTCGGTGCGGCTGGCCGCGATCTGGTCGGCGCGGGAGTCGGAGAGCTGGAGTCGGAGACCTGGACGATGAGACGGCCGGCATGCTGCTCCGTGTGGTAGGCCGCGAACTGGTCGGCGCGGGCGTTGGCTGGTCGATGCAGGAGTCGGTAAGCTGGTCGGCGCGGGAGTCGGCGAGCTGGTCGGCACCGGAGTCGGTGAGCTGGTCGAGGAGGGAACCGGCATGCTGGTCGGTGCCGCAGGCCGAGGTCCGGTCGGTGCGGGAATCGGAGAGCTGGTCGATGAGGGGGCCGGCGGGCTGATCGGTGCGGCAGGCGCACACCAGAGGATATATTAACCCTGTGTGTGGCGGCATTCGGGTTCTGTGACTGCGTGCCAATGGGCTCCGTCGCGTGCAAAAGAAAAGTGTCCCAGAGCGGTTACACACGCGAAACCCGCCGCAACAAAGTGTGGCTATTTTTCCCCTCGGCGCCGGAGTCGGTGAGCGGGTCAACTGGCCGATGAGGGAGCAGACAACGTGGTCGGTGCGGCAGGCTGCGATCTGGTCGGCGCGGGTGTGGGAGAGCTGGTTGATGAGACAGCCGGCAAGCTGCTCCGTGTGGTAGGCCGCGAACTGGTCGGCGCGGGCGTCGGCTGGTCGAAGCAGGAGTCGGTAAGCTGGTCGGCGCGGGAGTCGGCAAGCTGGTCGGCACCGGAGACGGTGAGCTGGTCGAGGAGGGAGCCCGCAATCTGGTCGGTGCGGCAGGCCGCGATCCGGTCGGTGCGGGAGTCGGCGAGCTGGTCGATGAGGGGGCCGGCAGGCTGATCGGTGCGGTAGGCCGCGAACTGATTGGTGTGGGAGTCGATGGGCTGGTCGATGAGGGAGCGGGCACGCTGGTCGGTGCGGCAGGCCGCGATCTGGTCGGTGTGGGAGTCGGTGGGCCGGGCGGTGAGGGAGCCGGCAAGGACGCCGATGCAAATGTACTGAGAGTCCAGGAAAGCCGCGGCGTCCTCGCCGAACAAGGTGGACATGTGTGGCGGCCTCCGGGTTCAGAAAAGCAGCCGGATGAGAATCCCCATGACGATGACAGCGCTCACCATGGCCCCGGTCACGTCCTCGTCCTCCCCCTCCTCCCTCGCGCGCACAGCCTCTGTGACATGTTTGTGGTCCTGAAATGATGAGGGGGGCATGATTTGTCCCCCAGGTTGCGGCCACGGCGCAAGTATAGAGCCACAACCTGGCCAGGAAAACAGGTCGACAAGTCGAGACGCCAATATGTACGTATAGCCCTCACCATCCCTAGCCTGTTGCATGGAAAACGCATCGTAAGGACCAGGCCCGTAGGCAGCACAGGCAGCACAGACGACTCCTCCGAGCCCATTGACTTGAACAAGGCTCCACCCTGTTTTGCTGTTAACATTGCACGCTGGGTTCATTGCAGAACCGTCCGAACAGATTAGCTATTTGAGTTTGCTGGAGGCAGGCTTGACCCCCCAAACAGGGCACAAAACCGAAACTAAAAGAAAACATATCAACTCTTTGGGTTGCGTAAGAAGCCCCCCAAACTTCTGGAGATCCTGGTTCCACAAGCTGCCCTGCCGTGCAGCATCACGGGCAAGAGGCGACAGGTGCTCACGGCGGTCTCCTTCGAAAGCCTCGCAGCATAATCTCCTGTGAAACAGGTGCCTGGGGCGGCTATGCCAAGCTGGCAGAGCTCGTCCTCAGCCAGCCCGTGCTCCTTAAGCCTGGCCTGGGTTCAGGTGCCTATGGGTCTCGGCTGGAGGGCACGTTTATCAGCCCAATGTCCTGCAAGATACCAAAACGCCAGCGAAGGGCGGGGAGGCGGGGTCGGCCCCATGGGCCTCCCAAACCCAGGTCAGCCAGCGGAACTCAGAGGGGACTGGATAATCTCCGTTAGCGCTGCCCCCCGCTGCTGCGAACCCCGATAGACCACCCTCCTCCTTATCCTCCCCACGGCGGTCCTCCAGCACCGGCTGCGCCTCGGCCGTCTGGCGCATGTCATCCATCACGGCGGCCTTCTCCTCCTCGGTCTGCGCCTACGTCAGTGCACATGAGGAAGGGCGAGGGACGAAGAGGAAGAGGGGAAGGAAGAAAAAGAGGAAAGGTGGACGAGGAGCTGGAGGACGCAGGGGGCAGAACGAGGGTTCTCGAGATTTGATGCTGTGGGCAATGTGGGCGCTCTAGAATGTAAAACGTTGCTCGGAAATGCAATGGACCAGGAAGAGGACAATGGAGTCCTCCTCCTCAAAGCATGTGCCTCATCCTGCTTCTCCTCACATCGCCGTCGTCCTCCTCCTGTCGTGATCCTTCCCCGCCACCTCCTCCCCCGATTATCGGCTCCTCCTCCCTATGCCTGCCTCTGTTGTGCGGGCACCGCGCTTTCGTATATCATACCTGGCGCCCCTACTGCGTGAACAATTTGGCGACTGCTTCTAACACATAATCCTCGAGTGTCCCTGACTAGATCGCCTGGCAGAAACCTGTCAGGGAGGCGTTACGACGACTCGCCGTCCGCAGGCATCGAAGAACCAGCACAACGAGCAAACATACATAACACACAGCAATACCAGACAAAAACATAGTTCAATAACAGACACCTCGGGCATGCCTCAAGGACGCATGCCAACATCAGACTTCAAGCACAGACCTCAAGCACATGCACCGCATAGAAACTTCGATGTGATGTGCTACTTACGCACACCAGTTACATGTAGCAGCGGCACACACATAACAACGTAGTCGCAGAGTGCATACATACCTTAGCGATGGCAAGATCAGATATCAAGACCATACATTCAAATCGTAAACAAAGAAGAGGTACCACGAACAGGCTAGCAGCCATACCTTACACCACGACCACATACCAAGAGCGTAGATCAAGAACAAGGTCGGGAAACACACATCACAAAACTTAATCAAAAAACAACCATCACTCGCATACGTCCATGTCACCAAGCGAGGACAAGCGGAGCATCGAGACCGTCCACCTGGGTAGCCCAACCACATACACAAAGACTATACAACACGACTCGACATCAAGATCATAGATCTGAAGAACGCAATGTGGAACCAGACTGAGAACGTACACCGACAACAAACAGCATCGACGGTTAACACGGCACCATACCTGACGATAGCAACCACACATCTAACGACATAGCGTAAATGCGGCAAGAACCTCTACCATCTTGTAAGATATCGCAAGCACGACGCATGATATGGAATGCGCACATGCCAGGCGTAAATGAGCAGAACGATCACACACACAAGCACCTAGGATAATCATCACACCGCAGCTCCTAGTCACACGCGACAGCTTTCGAAACAATTCGCAACACTTACCAGGTGGGGGCCGTCCGAAACAAAAAACATGAACACTACCTTTGTTTTGGCAGACACAATGGGGCCGATGGTGAGAACTCGAGCAGCCAGCATGCCGGCTGGGTCTGGAAAATACCACGCTGCACGGCTCTTGCTGCCATCGCATCCCCAGATCCTGCATGTCCTGACAGGGCACGCAGCCTCCTCGAGGCACGGCGCTATTATTCGCACAAGTCCGAACAGCTCGAAGGACCCACTGAATGCTCTCTCGTGCCTTGGTGACTGCCCCCCCGCAGCGCAGCGTGCGCCCGCACTAACTACTTCACAGTACTTTGCAAGGCCCACGTATCGTAGACGAACTGGACCTCGCGGAACTTCGCATTCGTCTGGACCTTCTCCATGTCCAGAATCGCCTGCGCCCTCTCGTACTTATCCCAGTCCTCCAGCACCTCGAAGAAGCCGCGCGCCATCTCCGCACACTTGCCAGCTGCAGCCGCATGCGCCGTCGCTGGCGGCAGAATCAGCTGCTGCCGGATGTAGTCTTCGGAGATGCCCGCGAGCACATGAGCCTCTGCGAGCACCAGCGCGGCCTCCGCACTGCCAGCATCGTCTCCAAGCTCCTGGTAGATGTCAAGGGCCTCCTTCGCGGCGGGGATGGCTGTCTTCGCGTCCTTCGTCGACAGGGACAGGGCCGCCAGGCTAGTCTGCGCGTTCGCCAGGGCGTTCGTTTTCACACCAGCCTGGTGCATCAGGTCGATTGCCTGTTTGTACGCACCGGCGGTGTTTCTGACCGCAGACTTGTGGGCACCGGGGTCGTAGATGTTGTGCAAGGCTTTGAACTGGACGTCGGCAATCAAGCCTTGAGCGATCCCCTCACCAGCCTCGATACCCCTCGTCATGAACTTCATCTTTGCAGACTTCGCCGTCTGCATCGCCTCGTCCAGATCCTCGGAGGCAAGCTGCACCTACAAAGGGGGATGGAACGAAAGACATGAAACTAATACATTCCGCATGAAGTCGGATGCTGCAGAAGTGAGAAAAGCGATCAGCTTCAATGGTGGGATGGTTGAGACTGTGAAGTCCACAAGTGTTAAGAAACGTCGAACCGTCTGACATGTCCACGGTCGGGCGCAAAAAGCGTGCGACACCAGGCGCGGCGCGTTGTCGGATTCCCAATGACCCGAAGCAGGTCTCTTCGACTCTGAAACAAGAAGAAACTGCATACTGCATCAGTGCTTCTCCACATCTTCCTGCCTCCGTCCATCCCTCCCTCCCTCCCTTCCTCTCTCTCCCTCCGTCGACCTCCTCCGCCACCCAAAAACCCGCTCAAACCTGGGGTCTATCATGGATGGACATTCACACTGCAATTATGACAGTCCTCGGGCCAGAACTGGGCACCCGGAGGCTAAGATTGACGAAAAATCGATCCGCTGAAAAGCAGAGCTGAACGATGGGCTCAATTAGAAGGGGGCCAAGCTCCTCATCACCAGGCTCCCCGTTTGTGGCCTGGGGGGGATGCGGGGTCCTGGGTATGGGCACCCGTTTTGAGCCAAATCTTGTCAAAGGGAGTCGACTGTGCACCCACTCCACTCCTGGCCAGGCCTATCTTGGACTCACAGTCGCTACGTGCGAGAGAATGCATTTCGTGGACACTTGCCTGGAAAGCTAGCCAGGGAGGGACGACCCCCCCCGAAAAATTGAACGTCCCTAGAAAACCGTCGCCCCCCCCTGGGACTGGCCTTCTTAACCGGCCCCAGCCCCCCTTCAAGGGGTGGGCCGGGGGCAGGGGGGCTCGTCCAAGGGGGGGGGGTCGAACCAGGGAGGGGAGGGGCCCCGAATTACAAGGGGGCGGGGGGGGTCCAACCGTGGGGGGGGGGCGCCGCCCTGTCCAAGGGAGGGGGTTCAAACAAGACACCCCCTCTCCTTTGAGTTGCAAGGGAGGGGTTCGCACCAGGGGGGGAAGGAGGTCCCTTGAAAGAAGGGGGGGGTTCGAACCGCCTGCCCCTGTTCAAGGGGATGGGGAGGGTCGAACCCAACGGGGGGCAGGGCTCTGATATGCCAGAGAGGGGAGGGTCGAACCGGTGAGGAGGCCCGCCCCTGTCCAAGGAGGGGTGTCGAACTGGGAGTGGGCTTGGGCCCTGAATTGCATGGGGGGGTCCAAACCGGGGAGAGGCTCGCTAGCTAGCTCGAGCAAGCGAGCGAGCCATCGAGTAGGGCGGGTTGGGTCGGCCAGGACATTAAATGCATGGTGTTCGCTTGCTCGCTCGCTCGCTTGCCCGCTCGAGCATGCGTGCGAGCGACCGAGCGAGTCCGGTGGTTCGGTGTGGACGGGCGGGTTAGTAAATGCAGGGTGCTCGCTTGCTTCCTTGCTCGCTCGCTCGCTAGCTGGAGCAAGCACGCGAGCGAGCGAACGAGGGGAGGGAGTCTGTCCTCTCGTTAGCTCGCTCGAACAAGGGAACGAGAGTCAGGCGGGTCGGGTTGGGCGGGCGGGGCGTTCAATGCATGGTGCTCGCATGCTCGCTCGAGCAAGCGAGCGAGCGTGGGAAGGAGGAGGGAGTTCTCTCGCTCGCTCGCTGAATCAAGTGAGGGTGGGTTCGAGCGAGCGGGACATTACATGCATGGCGTTCGCTTGCTCGCTCGCTCGCTTGCTCGCTCAAGCAAGCGAGAGTGTCGGGCGGGTCGATCGGGCGGGATATTCAATACATCGTGCTCGCGTGTTCGCTCGCTCGCTTGCTCGAGCGAGCGAAAGGTCTGGTGTTCAATGATTGATTCAGCTATCCAGCTCTCGCAAAATCAGGTTATAGCAAGATCCTGCTTATATTGACTCCTACTGGTGTTTGAACCGTATCAGATCAAACTCTTACCAAGGATCACTACGCCACGCTGCTCCCGATCGGCCCGAAGGCCGTGCCAATCTAGAACTCGGGCGACTAAAACTTGGCCCGTGCCTCCGGCACCTGGGCATCTGTGCGATCGTCATACATGGATTGCTGCTCGGGCTGGCAGGAACGGGAGCAGGGGGAGGGGGGGCAGGAGGGAGCAAAAGGCCGAAAAACGCTCAGATCTCGTTCGCGGGGGCATTCACTAAGAACCCTTCGTTGATAGGCACAGACTCAGGCACAGGCTCGATCCAACCTTAATCGCAGCCTACTGAGGTTCGATCATCGCGTCACCGCCAGCGTCACCGTCGCCAGCGCAATCGTCGTGGTCGTCGTCATCGTCGCCGACGACGTCGACGTCGGCGTCATCCTCGTCGTCGTCGTCGGCGTCGTCGTCGGCCTACCCGTCACCGCCGTCTTATTCGTCGCCGTCGTCGTCGTTCGTCGTTCGTCGTTTGTCGTCGTCGTCGTCGTCGTCGTCGTCGCTGCCCGACCTCGACGGCGCCGGCGCAATCGCCGGCGCTCGCCGTCGTCGGCTGCAAGGGGGCGCCCTTCCTTTTCGAAACCCCGCCCCTTGCAGCCCTTGCAATTCATGCGGGGGGGGCCGTTCCCGGTTCGAGCCCTTCCCCCAATGCGAGTTTCGAACCTCGCCCCTTGCAATTCAGGGGTGCCCCCCCACCCACCCCCCCGTTCGACCCCCCCCTCTGGGAAAGAGATGGGGCCCCCTCCCCCCTACTTCAAGGCCCAGCTGAATTACTAACTAGTCAACGCGAGTTATAACTCAATTAAAACTAACCATAAAAGCTCGTTGTTTTGCATATGATTGTTTCAACATGTTTTTGGGGGGTAGGGGCGTTCCCATTCTTAGGCCAGGGGTGCTCCCATGTTAGGTTGATGTGGTGATGCTGATGATGATGGTGATGCTGATTTATAAATTCTGAGTTGTAGCTGATTTCTTCCACAAGGTGTAGTAAGTGAATTCACGTATACAAGTGAAACGAATATTGAAACTCAGGCACAGTTTCTGCGGTACTCGGTTGGCCCAATGTATGTGATGACAGAGCCTGTCCTCCTGAGAACTGTAGCATACTTGAGCGTGCTCGTTGGCACGAGGACGGGTTGCCGGTGTTCGTCGATGGTGTATTTACTTTATGGTGAATGCACCTGACGAGTTGTCAACCGCAGAATCAAGCTAAGTGGTTCCGATTGCGACGCCGCCCCGACGTCGCACTGCACGTGAAACCATATCTGCACGGCTGAGTGACCAGTACCACAACCCATCAAAACAATGTCACCCCTACAGAATGACTTGTTGCTGCTGCACGCTTTTGTTCTCGACGCAGCCGTCTGCGTCTGGGGGCACAAATGCGTTAGGCATTCGATCGACGTCTTAAACGCTGGAATTGGATATTGCAACACAGTTGCAACGCTGAAGAGGTTAAGTTCGTGACGGTGCTGTGCGGTCAACTGCAACATCAACGAATGCCTTCTCAGGACGTCGCAAGCACATGTGATCATGCGTAAACCACTTGACAACTTTGTGTTTACGCTCGTGCACTAAGCATGATAATAAACCAAACTTCTGATACATGCCGGGGAGGTGCATCGCCATATGGAATGTGTAAGTCCAGACTGCGGTACCATGGCACCCCTTGTGCAGCCGAAGATGATGCGCAATGGCAGCAGACAGCTCGGCGTGACTGACGCATGCACCCCTCGCCAGTGCAACGAACAAGTCCACGGCGTCGCGCAAAGCCAGAAAGCTCGATATGTGTTTGGCGCATGCAGGCGCGCCTTCAACTTTGGCCACTACTTCTCTGGCGCAGCGTGCAAGCACGGGCATGGCTGACAACGTCCCAGACGCGCCCGCAGCGAACTCGCAACTCGCCCGCAGCGAACTCGCCCGCATGCATGCGTCGAGGTCGCTACCGGTGACGATAGAAGCGACCGAGCGACCGCTGAGGAAGGCAGTGGTCTCCTCATCAACGGTGCCGCCTACGACATAGACACGCGTCCAATCGAAGCACAGCATCGAAATGACCCCGTACCCCGGGGTCGAGTGCTATATGATTTGGATGATAGCTCCCTTCGCAAAGCTGCGTGAGCACCATGAATCGTTCATCATTATTTCGCCATTATCCATCCGTTCCCACTGGGGCGGCTTCTGCGAAGGACCGCAACGACGGTTTCGTCTGCGTTGGTGACCCACTTGGTTTTTCCCTACAAATGCATATGACACGTGCCAGCGTGTCGCGTCACACACGCTATAATCGTGCTTCTGATTTACCATGTTCCTGCATATGCCGCGCGGCTTGGCCCCCGCGTGCCCTTCTTTTCACGTGCAGTTCCCGCAATGCTTCCTCGTCCCCGATGGTACATTCTAGCTTCGCGACCAGTGTCGTGTGCGCCGCGCCGTCGCCATGCTCAGACATATAGAGCGCGATGCCCGTAGTGTTGAGATCGACTTCGCCTGCATCGGCGTTGAAGAACCACCTCTTGAGAAGGATGCGCAAAAAATTGACAATGCCGCCTGGGAGTTTGCGCACCATGGCAGTTCTTGCAGCGGACAAGACAAACGAAGCGTTTTCGCTGGAAATATGATCGTCGAAACCCAGGAAGTTCCAATAGATTGCAGCGACCCCTCTACAATCTTTGCCTTTGGCCAACGGGTCTCGTGGCGGGATCCCGTCAAGGTACCTACACAGCTGATGTCACATCAACGACCTGAACCCACTGCTAGCCTTGCACGCGGCGTAAAGCATGGGTCCTGGTGAGCACGCCCAATGTTGGAACGACTGGCCGTTTTCCAATTGCATGTCAACGCATTGCAGCAAGTGCCCGTAAGGTGTCGTTTCTTTAGCAACGACCACCTCCTGTGCGCGATGTTGCGCACCCCTTGAGGCTGCATCTGGCATGCCATTGTCTCTGATAAATTTGAATACATGGGAAAGTCCCCGCTCGGAGATGCACGGTCCGCGGTGGATCTCGACGAGGGCTTCGGCGCCCGCCGTACGAGACGCGGGTCGCTTTCGCGGCGTCGACGACGCCATGCCATCGACTGGGGCAAAAACGGCTACGGAAGATAT